TATCAATTAGAATAAAACAGTCGTAGAATCTGTAACTGTTTTCCACTGATACAAACTGTGATTCATTTGTTATGTGTCATTTGTTTCTAGGTCTGGAAGATGAGCTGGCAGAATACGTGGACAACAGATAGCGTTCCAAGTTGCTTCCAGTAATAATTGCCCACATACTGTTCCAAGCTATGTCCAGTAATAATTATGGCCAGGTATGACGCTTTTTTTCTTCCTTTCTCCCCTTTTTTGTGACTTCTTAATCTGTACGCATCTTTCTCTTCAAACTATTATGAGGGAATTATGAATGCAGTTATTTTTGAATAAACGCAAAAGCCAAGGGCATGCTGCAAAGAAAGAATCCTATATCGTTGGATAAAATGTACCCAAGCCAACCAAGTTCAACATCTTTATCTGCGGACAAGAATCGTGCCATTGAACCAGCGGTGTCTGATCATGAAAAGTGTGAGAAGAGTGAAAGTTCCCTTTCCAGTAGATTCTCTAAGAGGTTGGCATCCATTTTCATTTCTATGTTGCCACTGACAATCCAGGTTTTTACTGAAGGAGTCACTACAGGCTTCTCCCATTGCTAGGTGTTCAGATCTGGCTGGGGTCAAGTGCAGTTCATGAATCATATGTAAATCCCTCCTGGACAAGGCAACCATCATTCCTGAACATCAAAGAGTAACAGGTACCCCTCAATTTGCCTCCCTCCGTTTATTTCTATCCAAATTCCAATTTCGCTCAACCTTCTCTTGCAAGCATACATGCACACAATTGATCGGAAGGTTATTTTTGAGATGTCTTGATTTGAGTGCACACGATTTTAATAGCAGATCATTAAGTACATGGGTTCCAATAGCCTTAACTAGGTTATGAGAAAGATAATCTGGCAGGACAGAGGATGTGCTCCATGTGCATACTTCCCGAAAGGAGTCCATCAAAGGATCGGATCGTATGATTCATTGTTTCCCAACTGATACCAGGAGGATCAAATGAAAGTGCAGATTAACCAAATTTTTTTCTCCATATCAAATACTTTCATGTTAGCATCAGGGCTTGGATTGCGAAATAACAGTTTGGATCAGAAAATTGGTTGTGTATCTCCAGTTTCCTTACATTGAGTTTTATCAGTTGTTAAAATTTCAGATAGGTTCACAAACTATTTACTCTATCTATAGCTGTTCTTAATCTATATTTGGCTGTGTAATGTTACCAACTACATACCTGTCTACTTGACTGTTAACTCGGTTGTACATCGAATGTTTCAATATATATTTTCGACTGTGAACTTACCTATCCCTACGAACGCGCGCAATGGCACGCGTCTTTCACTAGTTTTCACACAAGTAGGAACTAATCCTATACCCCAACGAGCCCCATCCAAAAATATGAGTGGTCGTTTATTTTTGTTGCACTCAATGTTTGGTTCCTAAGATCTCTTTTACACAACAGCTCTTGCTACACACCGCCTTTATTACTCAATCAAAACAATAATTAACTTAACAAACATTTAGTTTGAGTGTTTAGATTATGCACTAAATTTTAGGACTTTTTATTCCTAAGCCATCTTGGTCCTTTGGTTGGCAAATAATGTTTCATCTCATTAATCTATACTTCTTTTTATGTTATTCATATTGCTAGAAAAATCTCGATCTCAAATACTCCAAATATTTAGGACTTCTCTAGGGCTCTAAAAGAAGAAGAGCATGAACGGAAGTAGACTAGACAAAATTGAGTTCATATTAGTACTAGCCTAAGACCAACACATAAATGTTTTCCTTCCCACACTGCTATTCTCTTCTCAGTTTTTTCTTGAATCACTTCAATCCATATTATCAAGTTTCCTAATATGCATTGGGATGCCAAGATATAAAAAATGGTATGATCCTACTTTGCAACCAAATAATTGTGAGTATTCTCTCTCACAATCTTTTGCTTGAACAAAACAAAAAATCTAGCTTTTGTGGAAGTTGATTTTAAGACCATATAATTGTTCAAAAGCACAAAGAATAATTTCATGTCCTTTACTTGTTCAATATCATGGTCCGTATTGTAATATTTACAAGGTATCCTCCACTAAATAAAGGCACTACACCTTCTATTTTCTCATTTTCCTTGGTTTTAGTAATAATGATTGCCAACATGCTAATCACTATCTTAAACAGTATTGGAGGTAATGGATCATCTGGCTAAATCCATTTTCCATTTGGAAGTAAGAACTCATATGACCATTTACTTTAATTCCTACATTACCATCCTAGATAAACGACTCAATACACTTATACAACATTTCCGTATTTTTTGTAAAATTAAATTTTCTTACACTTTTTTCAAAAGCTATTTTAAAAATCACACAATCATTTCTTTACTTATATATTGTGAGTTATTTTATGGAGATAATAATCACACCACCCATTATATTCCTTCTCAGAAAAAATAGTTTATAGGTTTTGATCACCTTTTCAAAAATCAACAAAATATCATTTGTGGTCATTTTAGTAAAAACTTAAAACTAACATTCAGAGAATGGCCAGTACTGGTTTGCCTCTTTATGCTTTGATAAAAATATTACTACTTAATAGTTTAGACTTTGAAAAGGTAATGTCCCATTATGAAAGTCCTTGAAAAGGATCATATTGTCATTTGTATAGCACTCCAAATAAAGGCTGATAAAACTCATGAATAAATCCATTATATTAGGATCTAGAGCTTTATTATTTTTCATTTGGAAGATTGCATATCCCATCTCTCGTTTAGTAAACTATGCCATCAACATATTCTTTTCTATGTCAAGGGACTCTTAAGGGATGCATGCCATCTTACCATGATTCCACCATATTGCTATGTTTACAATATGAGAAACCAAAGACATTCTTTTAATATTTAGTGATGTAAATTTTTAGTTCTTCATCACCACAAATTATCATTTCTCTTGTTCAAACCAGTAAATTTGAGTTTTCCTATGTTTATCACTAGCCACTAATTGAAAGGATTTTGTGTTACTATCTTTCTTATAGCAGGTTCTTAACTTTAGCTCTTTGATACTATTTAATATCTTTTTCTATGCTACTATGTTGTGCAATTTTTAGTAGTCAATAATTGTACCCTATGAGAGAGAGGGTGGATGGGTAGGGGAGGGGTACCTGCCAACTGGTTGGAGCCGAGTGACCCTCCGACCATGACACCTCGCATCACATGACAAAAAGTTTTGTGGGCCGTTGTGCTGTTGTGCTGGGCTACATGCTTGATAGCAGTCTGGATCATTCCTGGGTTTCTTTATTGCTCAAGGAGGAGGTTCTACCAAGACAACAAATTGGGGGGTGTCATGGTTTTCAACGGATCTGAAAAAGTCTTAGTTTACAAACCAAGCACACAAATTAAATTCACATTGTGTTTCTTGCAATAAATCCTCCAAAACTAGATTTTACTTCACTCTATTTGGATAATATGAAGTAAACGAACATTTTCTTTTATTGAGCATGGATAATGTTCTAGATTTAGAAAAAATATTCGGTCCTCACAAAAAGAATGTTCTAGGTTCATGAGACCGATATTTTAGATTTAGGAGAATAAAATTCTAGATTCAGGTGAATGGGGTCTGATAATACACGAGTCTAGTAGTAGAAAATCTTGAACATCTCATGGATATTATTGGAACAATTGAAATATATTGTACAACATCTTTTGGATAGTACATGAACAATCTGCAATATAGCATATAACAGCGGGCATGTACTGTGTAAATAAAATATATTATGGAACATCTCAAGGATACTATGTAAACAGTCCAAAATATACCATAGAACATCTTATGAGTACCATATAAATAATCAAAGATACAATATGGAATATCTCATGAATACTATATGAACAACCCGAAATATGCCATGGAACATCTCATGGGTAGTGTGTGAACAATTAAAGTAGGGAAATAAAAACATTAAAAATCTCATGGGTAGTATAAAAACATTACAAAATCCACTATGTATGGAAATAAAAACAATAAAAAATAAAATAATTAAAAATCAAGACAATTGATTTCTTTACAAAAATCATGTCGTAATACAGGAAAAAATAAAAAAGGGAATAGAAAGGAAAAAAAATATAAAAATCCCATAGCTGCCATATGAACAATAAAAAAACATGGTGGAACATCCAATGGATATTACGTGAACAACAAAAAAATATGCCATGGAACATCTAACAAATATTACAAGAACACTAAAAAACAATATGCACGGAAATAAAAAAATAAAAATCAAAGAATTAATTAGAATAGAATAAATAAAAAAGTAGGAAAAAATGAAACTAAAATACAAAATAAAATCCAAGTGATATAGAAAAATGAAAATAAAAGGGTAAAGAAAAATAAATAGATAAAAGAAAAGAAAAATAAATAAATAAGGATTTATTGGGCCTAAAACTTACACTCTAGATGAACCTTCCTAGGTGCGATGGTTGGAGGCTTGTTTCCATAGACGAAATGGGCTAAATCGATAGCTCGGACTGAATTACTATATTTATATATACACATGATATTAGAGAGTGGAGTGGTTTTTTTGGTGCCTTTTTTTTTACTTTTTAAACTGTCCTCATGTTCTCAGTGTCTCAATGTTACCCGGACTCGATCATGATCTATATTAGAACAACTTACATCTAACAATGTACAGAGTATGATCATAAGACTTGACTTTTATTGCAACACCATACGGTAGTCAGCAGGGAAACTCCAACCTATTTTTTTATAATTTTTTATTATAGGCCTGTTTAATTCACTGTCACGGGAAGTCGAACCCAAGCCTGTTGCATGCTACTCAGATGCTCTAACCACTAGGCGGCTAAAGGCCCTTTCACACCGTATGGGTATGTTTGGTAGCTATGGAAAAAATATCAGCCGTTATTGACAGGAATTGAGAAAGAGAACACTATAATTGACAGGAATTGTCCATAAGAATATCAGCTATTAAGCTGCAATTGTAAACCCTTAGCACATACACACAAGAGAAGGTTCACAGAGATTGTATGTAGTTAACCAACTTGTCAATGGCAATCTGAGAAGGCCCAGAGCTCTCCAAGCAGCCTTCTACTTTCCCCCTAAGCTCCTGTGCTCTTTCCCTCATCTCATCTCCCTCCCGCTCACTCATCAATTTCCTAATCGCGTCCTTGATCTTCCCCCTCTCCAGCTCCCCTTCGAGCTCGAACCCAACACCCCAAACATCCTGCACATACCTCGTGTTCATCATCTGGTCCACGGCGTCCGGCCTGCAAATCATCGGCACCCCCTCGCTGATCGCCTCCAGGGTGGAGTTCCAGCCGCAGTGGCTCCAGAACCCACCCACCGCGCGGTGGGCAAGCACCTCCTGCTGCGGCGCCCACCGGACCACCACGCCTCTGCCGGCCCTGACCGCGTCCTCGACGCCATCCGGCAGCCGCCGCCGCCGCACGCTGTCGTCGTCACAGCAGCCTCGTACCAGGTTGGGTCGGACGACCCACAGGAAGGGGTGGCCGCTCTCTGCCAGACCCCAGGCCACCTCCAAGAACTCGCTCGAGTCCATGGCCGCCAAGCTCCCGAAGCTCACGTACAGCACTGACCCGGAGCGCTGCGCGTCCAGCCACTCGATGCAGCTGCGGTCCTGGGCGAGCAGGCTGCTCCCGGCGCCCCTGGAGGAATTGGAGGAGAGCTTGTGGAGAGGGCCGGCGGCGAGGATCACCGGGAGGTCGGCGAGCTCGTCGCGGAGCCTCCCGATCTCGGCCGCCTCCAGAGCCTCGAACGTGTTGATGACCAGGCCGGAGCAACCTCTCACTGTCTCGCTGGCCCGGGCCAGGACTCTGCGGACAAGCTCGTGGTCGCTGTGCTTCGAGTAGACGAGGTCCTTCACTCGTAGAGGTGGCAGCTCCGGCACCGGCGTGCACAACTGCGACTCTCGCGGTGGCAGGTAGCCCTTCTCGTGGAGCATGGGGTACGACAGGAAGCAGCCCAAGCAGGCGGCGCTCCCGGTGCGGAGCACCAGCGTGGGAAGCCCGATCTTCCTGGCCGCCCTGTGCACGGCGAGGAGGTTGGCGTCGATGAAGAGGCACGCGGCGCGGGGGTCCGCGAGAGCGGCGGACGCCAGCGCTTCCGTGACGGCCGCGGAGGAGGACGACTCCATGGCGGAGTTCATGGCGAGGATGATGTCGATGATCCTCCCCGTGGCGGCGACGTCGGCGGGCGTGCCGTCGGGGACGGCCACGAACCGGAACTCCGGGTGCCGCGCCGGGTCCAGCGCGTTGAAGCGCGTGTGGAGCACGGTCACCGCGAGGCCCCGACCGTGGAGCACCCCCGCCAGGTGCAGCATCGGGTCGATGTGGCCCTGGAACGGCAGCGGGAAAACCAGCACGCGCCGCGCGCGCGGCTGAGGACCAGGGCCGCCGCCCCTGCTGCCGTTGCCGTCGCGAGCTTCTTGGGCGCCGGCCATTTTTGCTAGCTGTGCGCGGGCGTATGCTCGGTGACGGTGTGAGTGCTACACTGAGCACGTACTGGTGGATGGACAAGCAAGTTCGACGACGTACACGTGCTACTGAACAGATCGAGGCTATCAGTGACGCGAATTTTTTTTTATGTTTCGTGTCGATGATCGGATAATTGGATGAATTATTGGTTGGTATACATGCGTCATGCTGCATGCGTGGCAACAAACTTTTGTCCTAGAGAAGAGAAAGAAGTTCCGATCCATTTGCTACGTCCAAACGGCGGACGGCGACATGCATGTCCCCAATGAAGCGGCATGCAGCTGCTTCGTTTGACGTCATTGGTGACGTTATTTGAACAAGCGTGGTCTGGCGTTGTCTGATGCTGTCACTCTCCAAAGTGCAAACTGATCATAGAGATAATAATGTATTACGAGGACTGCCTTTTGTCAGGGCAATCGCACGAGTAGTTTGATCAACCGGGATAATGCAAGGTAGCTGCTGACAACAAAACAACTCCACGTCTGCACTCCGTCATCACGGTCTCCATCAACCCGATGCAGTGGCGGAGGACGAAAAAAATTTAAGGTAGGACGAAGTCGATAACATAGATAGTAAAATAATATCTTTCAAAATGGTTCATTAGACGAAGTGATAGTCAAGCACAAAAATATATAAGTAAAACCATTCAGGATAAATCGAACTATAGAAAATACAAGCAAAGTCATCTAACCATGTGACGATGAAGCTTCAGTCACGCCTAGGCGCCCTTGGCAATTGCATTTGCCTATCTTTTTTGTTTTGAAATGTTTTCACTTGATCATCTCAAGATCAATTCCTTGGAATATTTCTCGCTCAATGTAGCACACCATTAAGTCATTAAGCCAAGCATCGGACATCTTGTTGCGCAATACTGTTTTGATATTCTTCATAGCCGAAAAGACCCATGCAACTCATGCCGTCGCTACCGGTAGTATCAATGCCAACTCCATTAGACGATAAACCAATGGAAAGCAGTATGTCTATCAAGTTCAACCATTTGTGTAGCTAGACTTGCCAGATCATGACAATCTCTAAACTCATCAAGTCTTCTCACATGAATAATAAATAACTCAAGTTGATCTTTTATACCCTCTTCTCGGAATAGGAGAAATCATCATAATATATCTCAGTAAGCCGAGCAAGATTTTCCACATCAAATTTAGAGAATGAATCTCTCGGGTCAAGACAAGAAAAGCAAACAAACAATTTTGAAGATACCTCGTTAAACCGATGATAAACTCTGTGGTAATAGCATTTATAGAAGCATAGAAGGTATCAACACAAAAATAATGGTCTTGAGTGATGTTCTTGCCCCCTTTTCTTGATCTGCCAAATCTTGGTACTGCTTCATTCATATTTGGTATTGGAATATCATTTTCACTACAAAACTTTGTGGCTTCCTATATAGTGGCTCCCAACCATCATTCCTCAAATTCAACAAACATGTTTTCACATCAATAACCATAGACATGGCTTGAATAACATTTTGATCCTTCCTTTGCATGATAAGAGAGAGAGCTCACAACTCCCGATGCAAACAGATCATATAGGATCACAACTCCCAAGCCAAATGCCAAAGTTTGTTCACTTAACCTCATGCCGCTTGTTTGCTCGATCGGTGAAAATCCGTGTGTTTCATTCCTTCCTTCCATATCTTCCAATAGACTAGAAGAAGTAGTGGTCGCACTACCTCGGCCGAGCGCTCATGCCTATCACGTGCCACCGCTACGAAACTGAGGACATATCGGTGTAGTTCATTCTCGTAGTGCCTGTGTCATGCACAATGAGAAGAATCATCGATACCAGACAATGTTTGACGGTGTTTTTTTCAATTTTCATGGCGAAGCACCCGTGGATCCAATTTTAATAAAAAACAAACATTGCCCTCATGCTACTTCTTCAAGCTTGGAAAGTTATCTTTTGTGTAAAACCATATACGAGGCACCCAAATCCAAGTCGAGGAAACTTGAATCTGGGTGATTGGATGTACGACCATGCTAGTTGAGCTAACCTCACTTCCTATACGAAGAGGCGGACAATAGACTAATTTGTTGTCCTACAAAAATGAAGCCAAACTTTAGTGTGCAGCAGGGCGAACACTTGAGAGATATAATTATTGCCTTTGTCTTATTCAGGTTTGGAAGTTGCCTTGCTTAACCTTGTCTAGTATGTGTAGACCCTGTAAATATTCTTGAAACTCCTTTACTAATGCATGCTTAGCAGATTTTCTGCCGTCTATTTGTTTGGAAGGGCAAAAAAAAAAAAAACTGAAATCACGAGGCGTCTGCCCAAGCCCAACCTCTCGCCGGTGCCGCACATCAGGCGTCGGAAAACTTGGGCTGTCTGTACCTTATGGGCCAGGCCGTGGCTCAGGACACAGCGTGGACGGCCAATGAACCAGGCTCTTCGTATCGTGTCAAAAACATCCTGGCCTGATTTCGGATCCTCCGCTTCCTCTCTAAAAAAAGGGAGTCTATTTCTCTTAAATTTGGTCCTTGTCTGGATAATTCCTAAACTAAAGTATGATTTGATTTACTCTTACTATTTCAATCGGTCCAGTTACTTAGCAAAATCAGTTTTTTTATGTATGCATTGAGTTTTAATTTCAAAAATTATGAGGTGATAGAAGACATCATATTTTAAGTTAAAAATCATCATCGTTATGTTTCATAGAATTTATAAATCTAATTTTATTTTATTACTAGATGGCCTAACCTATCAAAAAAAACTTTACGATGTATTTTTTTACATAAATTATGATGTCTACGATCTAAAGCTCAACTTATGCACATGGTAACAAAAATAACAAATCTTGGTAAAGGGTAAACTGAAACAATTTAAATAGTTAAAGCGAGTATATCAAACCACACGTGACCATAGGGGTTATCAAGACATACCCTCTTCGTTGTAAAATAAGTGCACATCTCACGCTTTGAGAAGTCAACGAGTTCTAAGTTTGACCAAGTATATATAAAAAATATTATTGTTTATAATAACAAATAAACATCATTAGATAAATTACATCATATATTTTTGTAGTAAACCTATTTCAAGATATAAATATTAATAGTATTTTTTTCTAAAAATCTAGTCATATTTGAGAATGTTTGACTCCTCAAAATATGATATGTTACTTATTTTTGGGACGGAGGAACTATAAGATGGTGTTTGAATCCAGGGATTAAAGTTTAGGGGTGTCACGTAGAGTGTTCGGATAGTAATAATAAAACAAATTACAAAGGTCCTCAGTAATCCGTAAGACGAATTTATTAAACCTAATTAATCCGTCATTAGTACATGTACTGTAGCACCACATTGTCAAATCATGGACTAATTAGGCTTAAAAAATTTATCTCGTAAATTAGTCTCAATCTATCGTAATTAGTATATATTTAATATTCCATGCATGTGTCAAACATCCGATGTAAATGGAACTAAAGTTTAGAGGAGGAAACAAAGTAATTTGGACTTTTCCTGAAAAGCAAAAAAAAGATTCAAAGCCTTTTCCACTGGAGTGGCGCCGAGCACGTACTACTACTGCTATACAGTGGCGGAGCTCGTAAAAGAATATAGGGGGGTTTGTAACGTCGAATCTCATTCTAGGAATTCAACTCCCGTAAACACAAAAGATGTATATTCTTGTTGTTCTTTGTCTTGCCTTTGCCAATCTAGTTAAGATAGTAAGAACAGGAGATTGTTTATAAAAGGAAATACATACGAACTAAAAAATTTGGGATAAGAAAGTAGCACAACATCTTAATTTCTCATAAAAATAATATCGATCAAAAGTAATTAACTTTTAAGTTGCTGGATATACCATTCAACTCCATTTAGCATTCGGAAAGTCAGAAATATGGAAGCAAATAAACAATATTGAATCTTCCTACCTACACACCATAAGTGATCAGCAGAACAGGTAGGATGGATAGGATCAAGTCACTGCAGGGGACTGGAGAGAACAACAGCTACAGAGTTGCAACTTCCAAGCCAGCTGCGAGCGCGAGTCTAGAGGGCGGACTGGCGGAGGCTGCAACACGCAGTTATGCATGCGTGCTTGTGCCGAGCGACAACGGCGCTGTCCGCTGCTTGGCCTGCTGCAGTTGTTGTTCCACAATCTAAAGGCAAGACGGCAAGACTCAGAGACAAGCATTTAGTGTTGTAGCTGGCAGGCCAATAGCAATGAACGTTTGAGCCTCTAGTTCGGTAGTTGATCGACATGAACTGCCCATAGAATCACTAAAATATTTTCCAGGACAAGGACTATATATCCAGCTAACAAAAATGAGGAATTTGCTTCATTGTATTGTCCATTCAGTTTCCAGTTGCCTGTGTACAGAACTTCGCTGTTCATTTGAACTGCTTATCAGCTTGGGTATAGTGTTTTTTTCTCACAACAAACTAGCACAGCTGGTTTATCATCTGCAGAAATCATCGCCGAACAGCACTGATCGCCTATTGGTTCATTAGCTTGTGTCCTTTGGTTCTTTTGCAGCCACACGATAATTCTCTTCCGGACAACCTGCAAAAAGCTCAGTGAGCCACAACATACACTTGTCTGTCTAATTAACAAATACTACTACAAGTCAATAATGCAGCACTACCAAACCACCCACGTGTCCCTAGCCACAACAAATACATAGAACATGCGTAGCAGTTGTGGAAAACTTTTTCCTAAATGACAACTTGGTTTAGACGACAGATCAACCAGCGACAGCGAGAGCGTTTTGGTTTTTTTAAATGGCGTGTGCTCCTGCTGCGTAGCTATGTGCTGTCCGCCGATCGAGACGAGCTGGCAGGCACGCGATCGATGGCCGGCGTCCACGAAGCGCGCACCGGCGGCAGCGGCGCCACCAACGGCAGGAGATCATCACGGCGGCGGCCGCGGCGCGTCCTGATGTTCCCGCTGCCGTTCCAGGGCCACATCAACCCGATGCTGCATCTGGGCGACGCGCTCCACGCACGGGGGCTCGCCGTCACCGTGCTCCACACGCGCCTCAACGCGCCGGACCCCGAGCGCCGCCACCCGGAGTTCTAGTTTGTGCCGGTCCCTGACGGCGTCCCGGCGCACGTCGCGGCGTCCGGGAACGTCATCGACATCATCGAGGCCATGAATGCCGCCATGGAGGCGGACGGGGTGGCGACCGTCAGGGCCGTCCTCGAGTCGGTGGTCGCGGACGAGGCGCAGCCCCTTGCCACGTGCATTGTCTTCGACGCCAACCTCCTCGCTCGAATTCAGCACACAATTCACTTGACATAGGTGCCACTTGCACCTCATTGGTATAACTCTTCCTGCTAAGAGCATCGACAACAACATTCGTCTTTCTAGGATGATAGTGTACCTCCAGATCCTAATCTTTGATCAACTCTAACCATTGACGCTGTCTCATATTCAGACCTGTCTGAGTGAAAATGTACTTTAGACTCTTGTGATCAGTATAAATGTCACTCTTATGTCCGATAAGATAGTGCCTCCATATTTTCAGAGCATGAACCACTGCTGCTAACTCCAAATCATGAGTAGGATAGTTTAGCTCATGCTTTCTCAAATGTCGGGATGCATGGGTAACTACTCTTCCTTCTTGTATAATAACACATCCGAGACCTTGACGAGATGCATCACAATAGATAGAAAAGTTCTTACTCAAATCTGGCAAAACCAACACTGGGGTTGTAGTCAACCTCTTCTTCAATTCCTCAAAGTTATCCTGGCACTTCTTAGACCACACAAACATAGTATTTTTCTCCAACAGAGCTGTCATAGGCTTGGCAAGTTTAGAAAAAGCCTTCTATGAACCTCCTGTAGTATCCAGCCAATTCCAAGAAACTACGAATCTTTCCCACATCGATCGGTGGCTTCTAGTTCAACATATCTCTCACCTTGCTTGGATCTACTGCTATTCCACCATTAGAGACAACATGGCCTAGGAAAGAATCTTCCTTCAACCAAAACTCACACTTGCTTTACTTAGCGTACAACTTGTGTTCCCTCAGCTTCTGCAAGACCAACCTTAAATGTTCAGCATGTTCTTCTTCAGTTTTGAAAAATACCAATATATCATCAATGAATACCACCACAAACTTATCCAGAAACTCCATGAACACCTTATTCATCAAGTACATAAAGTACGCAGGTGTATTGGTCAATCTAAAGAACATAACGATGTACTCATACAAATCATACCTCGTAGTAAAAGCTGTCTTGAGTATGTCAGTTGCACGAATCTTTAGCTAATGATAATCAGAACGTAGATTAATTTTAGAGAAAACACAACCACCTCTCAACTCATCAAACAAGTCATCAATTCTAGTTAACAAATACTTGTTTTTTATAGTAACTTCATTTAGTGACCGATAATCAACACACATCCTCTGGGTACCATCCTTCTTATCAACAAATATAACCGGTGCTCCCTAAGGTGACGAACTAGGATGAATGAACCCTTTCTCATGTAACTCCTTTATTTGTTTCTTAAGTTCCTCTAATTTATTTATCCCCATTCTATATGGATGCTTAGCTATAGGTGTAGTTCCAGGTAATAATTCAATAATAAACTCAATGTCACGGTCAGGTGCATACCTGGCAAGTCATCGGGGAACATATCTGAAAACTCATCCACTACTGGGTCCTCCTTATTGGCGCTATGATCAAGCTGGTTCACTGTGGTTGTCGGCTGCCTCTGCACTACAACATCGACACTGATTCGATCTCCCTTTGGTGTGGTCACAACAACTACCTTCTCCTTACACTGAATCACTGCTTGTTGTTGCATCATCCAATCCTTTCCTAGAATCACATCAACGCCAGATGTTCTCAACACAATGGGGCTCACTTTGAACTCTACCTCTCTTAAGGATAGACTAGTTGGAAGACAATGATAAGAAGCTTGCATACTACCTCATGGTGAGTTTACTAATATGGGATCTTTCATGACACATAAGGGTATGTTATGCATTCTAACAAATGCTTGTGATATGAAAAAATGCGAAGCTCTAGAATTAAAAAGAACAGTGGCAGAAGTGGAATTGACATCAAACGTACCGAGCATGACTTCTAGTTCCACAAGCGTCGTCTCTGTAGACACGTGATTCACCTTTCCTGTATTGGGTGCTGGCTTCTGATAACTATTCTACCTCTGTGGGGTCTGCTGGTTTGGCTTCTCAGGGTAGTTATACGACGTGTGACCCTCTTTTCCACAACGGAAACACTTGTTGGGAGTGCTAGGGGCACTGGTCTTGATTGGGGTGTTTGTTGGGTGCTCCCTGGCGTGGTGTCTGCGAGCCACTCTACTGCTGATTCTGCTGAAGCTGCTGGAACTGATTGCGTTGAGGGTACTGACCACAATTCCACTGATTGGGTGGTCCCTGCTACCTCTGCTAGAAGCCTTGTTGAGGATTGGTGCGCAGACGAGTATTGCTTCTAGAGGCATGTCCCTGAAGCCTCCTCTTCATGGCCTCCATTTCTTTGCACTTATTGTCAATAACAATAGCGCGGTTTACCAGTGTCTGAAAATTAGGGTATGTATTGGACATAAGTTGGAGTTGCAGACCATCATATAGACCCTTGAGAAAGCAACGCTGCTTATCAGCATCGTCAACCACCTCATTCGGAGTATAGTGTGACAACTGAGCAAATTTGTCATGATACTCAGCTACAGACATAGATCCCTATTTTAGAGCTCTGAATTCCTCCTGCTTCAACTCTATCAATCCTTCAGGTATGTGGTAGGATCTAAAATTCTCTCTAAACTCCTTCCAGGTGATAGGAGGAGCATTAGTGGGACGTCCATACTCAAATGCCTCCCACTAGTCTTGAGCTTCTTCCTGGAGTTGTCCTAATGCGTACAACACCTTCTGCTGGTCGTCGCACTACGCTATATTGAGTTGCTTTTCCACTACACGAAGCCAATCATCTGCTTCCAGTGGATCAGTGGCATGAGAAAACACCGAGGGGTGGCCCTTCAAGAATTCACCGCGCTTGTCATGCGGTGCTCCACCAATTGATTGATTCTGTTGATTCTGCACCAGAGCTTGCATAAGCTATGTCTGCACTGCCAAAAGTTGCTCAATAGTCAGTGGCGGTGGTGGTGGATGTGGGGAAACACCTCCACGACCTCGGCCTCTTTTTCTTCTAGACATCTAACACAAATATTCAAAATTTAGAGATTTTCAAATTATAGACACTTATAGAGATATCGAATACATTTTGAAAATTTTCTGGACAAGTTCCAACATCAATAGCTCGGTAAAACAGTCATATCTAGAGTTCCAGATATCCAAAAGAGACGTGCTTTACATTGTTGGAAAGCTTAAGAAATTATATATAACTTTTATTAAGACAACATGCCCAGATTCTATCGTTAGGTTAGACAAAAATAGGACACAACCAAAACTATTTCAGATTCTAGACCGCGCAGAAACTTCAATTTAAAACGGCTATATCTCACAAACCAGATTAGGTTTAGGGTGATTCCAGTGGTATTAGAAACTTCAATTTAAAACGGCTATACTCAATTTAAAACGGCTATATCCAATTATTTATTTATTGACTCAAACTTTAATATTCTTAACTATGGAACTTGCGGACATGCCCATAAGGTTCTAGTACTCATTACAAAAATCCAACTCACACATAAACATAATAATAAATCAACTAGGCACACCAAAGTTCACACCACACTACTAGACTCGACTTGACTCAACTTGATCCATGCTACTAACGTTTTATTACAAAGAAGGGAGTTCCAACACCTATGGGCGAGGTTCATGGGAAAGCTTCTCATAAATCCTTGGCTGGTTGAGGCTCACCTTTTGGTCATCTATCACCTGTTAGTATCTCTTAAGAATCTCTTGCTGTGCCTTTAACTGATCTTCCAGTCGCCGAATCTTCCCTACTAGCTCACAGCCAAAGTGTACCATCACCTGAGTAGACGGATTCGTGCCCTAAGGGTCCATCATTGCCCACTCCAATTCAAGGTGTTGGCGAGGGAGGAATCGATATTGGCCCTCCTTCATATCCTCAAAATGACGGCCACGAAGACCCATGCAGGCTTCAGCGGCTGCATCTTTTATGCCATCTTCCATGGTGGCACGACGAGCATGATGCACATAGTTTGAGTCCAGCAGATATGCTTCCTTCTCTTCATCCCTGATATAGATGCACACCCTAGTCTTCCAATAAGTGTCCTCAAGAGGGTGCGAATGTTCTTCGTAGACATACTCCACAGTTGCGTCCCAATCAGCGTAGTAGGTCTAAAGAATCCCCATAAGTCGGTGGTGCAATATGGCGGATTCACACCCTGGCTTGTACCAGATCTTTATAGTCCATCCCATGGCAGGGGCAGGCTGATCTTCCTGAACGTCGTCCTCCTCCTCCTCATCACTCAATACAACGACCTCCACTTCTTCGGGCTCTTCCTAGGGTGGCTCAGGCGTAGGTGCAGGTGCAGGTGCTGGTGAGTCGACTTCCTGCTCCTAAGGTTCCTCCTCACATGGCTCCATGGGCTCATACAAGCCACGAGGTGGGTAGTAGCCTCCGATGCTGATGCGAGCGGTCTTACGGGCACGAGGCATGTATAGGATTAAATTTAGTTAGAATAGAAGCAATAATTTTCATAACAGAGTAAGACAAAAGAAACATAAAATTTAGCAAATAACAAGTGTGGAGTAGTAAGCATGAAATAAGGGAAGCAAAAGAGACTAAAATAACCATTACTAACTAGGCTTGCGTTCTACAGTCAACACGACTCCGATACCAATTTGTCACACCCAATTTTAAGGATAAAATGGGATGCATAATCTTATATGCGCCCAGAAATCAGTCACACACATAAGCCGACAAATTATAGATAGTATCATCAAGAGTGTTTATTACATCACGTATAATAAGACATAGTCTTCACATAAATATAGCAGAAGTATAAAGAAAAATATCTCATAGAAGCTCCATAATATAGGGACGTCAACTGGTTGTCCACAAGTTTAATAATCATCAAGAAAGTCGTCATTACCATAGCCATCTATTACCCATTCGGGATT